TGGTTAATGGCTAACGATACAATAATTAATGAATATTGTACATATATTTAAATTTTTTTTCGCATTTTTTCCTGATCAATTACTAAATTTTTTTTCTAAAAATTCAAATTATTATTGTATTAACAAAGAAAATAAGCGAAATACTTATCCTAGCGATGCTTATCGTTTTCAATTTATTTTAACTTTTTTGTTGGCAAAAAATTCGTTTTTTTTTCCAGTTATTTTTCCTTTAAGACTGAAAAACAATGATCCATCAATGAATAAACGTCTTCAAATAAGAATTATAAAATTATCAATTATTATCAATTATCATTTATCAATTATCGTTAATAATTTTAAATGTTAAAAGACTGAAGTTAAGATCGTATTTTCCCCAAGGCACGCAAATGCAATTGATTGACGAAGTTTTATCTTTTAACAAAAAAATCGAAATTTTTTATTAAAATTTGGAAGAAAAAAAAGCAATTCAGAAACAATTCAGAAAAATACCAATGAGATTTTTTTTTTCTGAATTACTTCCAATAAAAGTTTTCCCATAAAAAAAAAAAAATTTATTCATTTGATAAAAATTAAAAAAAAAGGAAAAAAAAATCGGAAGTGGTTATTTTTCGAATATAAAATTAGATAAATTAGATAAATTAAATAAAACTGGTTGAATTCAATTAATCATTCTCATCGCTACGAAAAACTCGTCGTCTAAGAGCATTTTTGATTTCGACTGATTCTATAGATTCTGTTATCTCATAGGAAGTCATTTAAAATGGAAGAGAAGAGGAAAGGCAGTAGGAGAGGAGGAGGACAGAAGTAGATTTCCAACACTACTAGGATTCCACTTTTTATGTTAGGTTTCTCGCTAATTGACTGGGCATTAATCGAAGTACCATTCATAGCGCGTTCAATCATTCATTTTATGCTTCTAAATATTTTAATAAAATAAATTAATATAAATTTATAATATTTACTTAAAAGCTATTTTCAAGATATTTTTTAAAAAATAATTTATTTACCGATTTTTTTCAATTTTAATTTTTTTTTTTTTAGAAGATAAATTTACGTATTGGCGATAAATTAAAAAAATATATTGGAAATGAAGAATTTGAATTTTTCGATGAAAATAAAACGCATTGAATCGATTCGAATATGGAAAAAAGGAATTTGGAATAAATCATAAGAGGCGTCATTGCATTTTTAGAAAGCCTAAATTAGTTGAAGGAAGCAAAAAAGATGTAAGGAAAACTGCCCACATATCGATCAGTTATTGACTTCGCCTCCAGAAATTCCTAAATTGCATGAAATTAAAATTATCATGGATCTGATTGCTTTTTTTTTCCTTCACGTAACTTTACTCTATAGTTCATTTTTTTTTCCTTCACGTAACTTTACTCTATAGTTCACGTAACTTTTATTGTTGAAGAAAAATAAATGCAATGGTTCTTTTAGCGATAAACATTAAAATTTAATAGTTCATTTTTTATTTTAAAAACTTCTTAATATGATAAAATAAATTTTTAATATGCAAGAAATTTTTTAAGATTTGCGTAAATATATCTCTAATAAAATGAAACATAAATGGAATAATAAATTATAAAAATAATAAATAAATAAATAATAAAAATTGTAACAAAAACATTTCAAATTAATTTCTGAAATAATCTTTTCATTATTTCTAATTTTTTTTTAAGAGTCCTCACCATTACTGGTTAAACTCGCTCCACTGGCTTATCGCATTGGGCAATATGCCTGGGAGTCCCTTGAAGTACAGGTGAGTCGCCAGTATCACTCGGATTTTTGGACATTTCTGGAGGGATTCGAACCTCAGCATCGGCGCTCCCAATCGAGCAACAACTCACTGAGCTATTTCTAAATTAGTTGATTTGTTTCTCAATCTCTACGAGAAAATCCTTTCGCTAGAGAATCATTTATGGATAAAACAAATTTGAGTCTAAAGGATAATCCGAATTAGTTGGCTTTGAATCATAAGGCTTAGCATAGCCAAAAGACAAGAATCGAAGCTATTTGATTGTCGAATTTTTAAATCCAATAAAATTGTCGAAATATAAAATTTTTTAAAGGGAAATTATATGAAATTATATTTATAAGATAAAATTGTAATCAAAGTCGAAGAAAAAAGATTATTTTAACATTTTTAATAATTAACAAAGCGATAGATAAATTGCAGATAAAACGATGATTAATGAATTTCCATGAAATTTTTTAATTTTTTTTGCGTCTTTAAAATTTATATATCTAATAATTTTTAAAATATATTCACTATTCAATAAAAGTCTGGAAAATCAACGAATTTTTTTTCTTCGAATATTTAAAAATTTGAAAAAATTCGAAAAATCAAAGCAAATTTCCAAAAGTAAACATTCATTTTTTATCTCTCCAATCGGTTTTTCCTTTTTAAATAAAAATTAATAAAAACTATTAAAAATTAAAATTTTATCAAAATATTAAATGAAAGAATATTATTAAAAGAAAAGAATATTAAAAAGAATATTATTTCACCAAATTCAGTTTTTTTTCTTTATAAAGATTTTATACTTTCTTATAGTTTCGGAATATTTTAAAAATTATATAAATATTTAATACAAAATATAAATATTTGATTAAAAAACTTCAAAAGTTTAAATTTTTTAATTTCATTTTTTAAAAATCATTTTCTTGAAATCTTTGAATACAATTTATTATTTATTTATGCATTGCGAATTATAAAACATTCTTAACGATTTTAGAAGAATTTTGATTAATTGAAAGAGATTTTATTCATAAAATATCTTAAATAATAATCACTAATTACATTTACAATTAATTATTATCTCTTTACTTTAAAATTATAAATAATTTACAACGATTCAAATTTATTTATTTGCTCACCTATAAAATCAAATAATTAATTAACCTAAAACTAATCTAATCTAAAAGTAAAAATTTCAATTTATATTTATAATTATTTATATTAATAAGAGAATACTAAAATCTCGCCAAATTATAAAATTTGAATTTTTTCATTTCAATTATTTATTTATTTATTTATGGCGTTTTCCAGAAAGTGTTAGCAATTATTAGCAATTTTTTTTTCACAAATGCAAAATCTCATAAAATATCAAAAAAATAAAAAAAAATGAAATAAAAAATGAAATTTGAAAAACTCTCATAAATTATCATTTTTAGTTAAACAATTTTAACAAAATCATATTAATAATTATTAAGAAATTAGTTATTATCAAATTAATCACCATAAATGCGACAATTACTTTTTTTTCAAATTTCATTGCAACAGAGTTTTTTGACAATTTAAAAAAAACAAACTATGAAAACGAAAAAATGAAAAATCTATTCATTTTGCATAAATATATAAATACTTCAATAATAATAATAATGTTAATAAAAACAATAATATATATACAAATATATTCTTAAAAAAAGTTAGTGGTAAGATAACAGGCAAGAACAGATGCTAAGGTTTGAATCTAACGACGAACCACTCTTGGTCGAGCAATAATATCGTCTAAAGAAGAAAAGCAAACGGAGAGTTGCGGAGTTCCGATGCCAAGGATCCACTCCCATCAAGAGCAAAACATGTCCAAAAATCCACGCTAGCGATTCACCTGTATCGTCAGAAAAACTCTCTGGCGTATTTGCCTAGTGCGACAGCCCAGGGGAGCGAGTCTAATTAGTAATGGATAAAAAAACTTCAAAAAAAAATTTGACAAGTAAAAATTTGATGAAAAAAGCACTTCTTTCGTTTTCTATGGTCTATCATTATTTTATAATAAATTGCAAAATCTAAAATGAATTCCAAGAACTGAGATTTTTTTTTAAGGAAAGACGATTTATCTCAGATTGGACTGCATTAAAGGATTTAAAAAAAAAAGCAACAATTTAACAAAAAAACAAAACAATCCTAAAAAATAAAATCTATTACTAGTTCAGATGAATTCCGATATATGAATTTTTTTTTGGTCGACCCCCTATATAAAATCAAAAGAATATTCATTGTAAAAAAAGACTGCACTATATTTATGGAAGTCATAATCGATTAATAAAAAATGTTGGAAAAAAATTATAAAATATTACAAATAGCACCATTAAATAAAAAATAAAACCTGATTCAAATATTTCAAAAAGCACTTGTGCGCGAAAAAATATAAAAAACATGAAAAAATGAATATTCAGAAATCTATTTAAAAAACTTCCATGTGAGCAAATCCATAAAAAATCCATAAATGAGATTCACCTGTGCAAAAAAGCGAATCAACTGATGCTCAAAAATGTCGAAATTATATTTTTTCGACATATTCTATATTCTATTTTTCTTGCACTCAAAATGTTTTGTAAGATTTGGATTTGGTTCCATTTTCTTTTCACCAGTTAATTTACTAATAATAATAACTAAATGCACAAAACGACTAGAAGTAAATAAACAAATGAAGCGATGAGCAAAAATGAAGATAAGAAAAAAAAACTTAAAAATCCCCGATTTAAAACTGAAAACGATGAAGTATAATAGTTATTAAATGGCACCGTGCAATAATAAATCATTCGGGTAAATGCGAAAATATTCTGAAATTCTGAAATTATTCTCAGCAGCAAAACGATAACAAATTCGATATTTTAGTTAACAGCTGCTTGATAAAATAGAAACATTTACGCACCTTCTAAAATCTTTAAAACCTATTATAAAAATAAGATCACGAAAATGAAAAATAAAAACAAAAAACGAGAACCACCATACATAAACGACTAGATAAAATTTTTCAAAGATTTCAAACATTACTCATTCTTTTCCTTAATAAGGGATTAGTTGAAAGATAAACAATTAATCAAATAATTTAAAATTCCTAAAGCACCTCTACTTTTCACATTAGCTCCATACTTTTGACCAATTTACAATTTCCGAATAATTAATTAGAATAATTAATAAGAATGAGTAATAAAATTATTGGGCTGAACAATATACATAGACATAACGCAAACAACAGATTAACCGAAATTCATAAAGAATTACCAGTGATATAATGCAGTCTATTTTCTTTTTGCAAAACGGTTGCTGCTGCTTCAACTGCATGCGTTTTCTCTAAATCGATCTGCGCATAATTTACATTTAATGAACAAGTTACAGAAGGATCATCATGGCAAGAAGGACTGCTAATGGAACCAGTCCTAAAATAAAAACATTATTATCCTGTGAAAAATTGATAAATTAATGAATAGTTAATTCTAACTTGTAAATCAATAAATATTCAAGCAACTATAAACGAATTATCAGCTAAATATGTTAAAAATATTTCTAGATAAATATTTAATATTTAATGATTAATGGTGGGTGATACTTGCACTTATTCACAGAAATTTTAGAAATTTTTCGATAAAAATATTAAAGCCATCGCAATATGACAATAGATAATTAATTATAAAAAAAACAGAGATAACATCCTCTAACAAGATGTGCCATTCAAATATTGAAGGATATAAACACCAAAAAATTCAGTCAAAACTTAAGCTCTTACATAAAAAGTTGAGCTAAAATTATAGCAGTGATGACCATATAGTACATTGTTTAGACAGCCAATTTAAAGTCAAGGATTTCAATGATTCAGAGTGGCACTGGGGATCTATCTATAGATCTATTTATACTTCGCTCATATCTTCCAAATGATTCTTAGAAAGAAAATTTCGTAGTGAAAAGTAAACCAAGTTAAGTATAAATGGTAACTTTAAAAAATATTACTGTTTAATTGGTTCTATAGAATAACAATAAAAAATTTAAAATAAATTTACAAATTTAAGAATAAATAATTTCTAAAATTATTGTTACCTTTGAGATAAGCAGTTATATACATCAGTTACTCCAATATCTACTGCAGCATAATCGAGTTGCGCGGGAGTCATTTCTTTTTCACAGTTCGAGTTCATCTGAATGAATTTATATTAACTGAAGTATATTAAATTATTAATACAAGGAAATATTTTGTGAAAAATATAACGAAAAAAACATGCTAATAAAAATTTTTCCCTAATTTAATTTAATAAAGAAATTTAAATTAGTAAAATTAATTTAATAAAAAATTCAAATTGAAACTTACGTCATTAACGTTAACATATCGATCGTGAAAAAATTTTTCACAGGCTGGAGAATTCGTTTCGGAAATTGATCTATAAACAGGTACAAGACGACTTTTAGCCATTGATTCGAGTCTAAAATTAAAAACAATAGTTAAAATATGTGCAGACAAGGATAAAACATAATACTTGTGTTCAAATTAGCAAAAAGTAAAAAGAACAAAAATTTTAAAATTTTATGATGTCTATCTACGTCTATTGCTTTCTATTAAAATATATTATATTGAAATTAAAATAAATTGTAAATATGAACAAAGGTTCAAAAAACATTACATTAAGTGATTATTTTTTGCAATTCTAAATTGTGATGAAACCATCTGATCAAATACTTGTTTTCTCGGATGCGTTGTTACATTCACATAAGAATGATTTAAAATTGAAGGTTGCCGTTGAATTATATGCTCATTTCTATAAGAGTATCATTCATAACTACATCAAAATATCAAATAAAATATTATTATTAATTATTAGTAATTAATAATAATATTATTAATATTATTAATTATTAGTAATAAAATTATAATATTATATTATTAATTAATAGTAATAAAAATAGTTAATGATATATTATAAATAATTACTAACATAACACTGCCCATAAATTCTCCTTGAACCGTGTGATATTGATTGGGACGATAACCGTGAGAAATTGGCCAAATTGCCGTATGACCAGCAGCAGTTGCGATACTTCTTGGTCGTCTAACGCCATTTAATAAGCGATTATTTCCATAATAGCCATAATTAAATGGTAATTCTCCAACACTTGCTGTACCTTCAGAATTTTGTCATTAATCAAGAAATTCAGAAAAAAAAATACGAATATCGAAACCTCGAGAAATTTAAGAAAAAAAGTGTTTATCAACCTTCACTTGAATATCTTTGAACTGGATGAATTCGTGATCCTAAAGGTGTATTACCACCCATCAAACTATGAACACTATGAACGCTATCTGCCATCGATTGCGATCGAATATGACATTTTGACGCTTCGAAATTTACATTCATACGTATCTTCGATTGCACCAACTGTAAATTAAAATACAATAAAACGAAAAAGATATTTAAAAAATGATTAAGAATACTTTGCTCCAGGACAACTTTCCAAAAATTTGCCGATCCATCATACTTTGAATAAGAAATCAATCGCTATTGTAAGCCAATTTTTGTCAATCAATTATCAATCAATTAATTTGTCATTTTCTGTATAGTAAATAATATATAATGTATACACAATTATTTAACACAATTATTTTCTTGCATTTAATGTCCTTTATTTCCTTTCTATGTGTTTTTTTTTTATTTATTTTAGACTTTACAATACGAATTCATTAAATACCAATATATTTTCATATTGAACCAATGATTCCGAAATATCAAAAAGCTTGTTCAGAATAACAATGAGACCAAGTGGCGCTGACAGTACGTTAAAAAAAAAGACAATAAAAAAGAAAGAAAAAGAAAAGATTGATGAAGAAACAAATGGTCTCAATAAAAAACCTGAAATATTGCTTCAGCTTGATGAGACTGAAATGTGTGCAGGCCTTCCCCGCTTGGACATCTAAAAGTCACATATCTTTAATCATAAACGCAACAGAAATTAAAATATTTACTACGATAAATCGATAGAATCCTTAAAATTATGACTAAAAGACAGCCAATGAATTTTGAATTATAGTCAAAAAAATTGATTCGAAAAATAAAAACAAAAAACAATTGAGTAAATAAAAACAAGTAGGATAAATAAAAAATAAGAAACAAAAATCGAACAAAAAAATTTTTAACCTTCTTCCACTTTCGAAAAAAAATATCCCAGCTGATGTAAAGCCGTATCGACGAAGGCAATGAAGCGGCCAGTTTAATGATTCAGTTTGATTTCGACAGAAAACGATTCCATTTTCATTGACAATTAAGGTTCCTAAAATAAATTATTTCTGAACAAAATCATCTTTTACAAAGAAATAAAGCATAATTATGGAAATTCTTCTATATATCCAAAATAAGAATATTGCTAAGAAGGTGGAAAAATTTAGAGAAATATTTATAAGAATGAAAAAAGAGTTCCCAAGGATTCCCAACCTTTTGCATTAATCCCCTACAAAAGAAATCGACCCCCTCAGAATTTTTAAGCTATTTTTATGAGTTGAATGAGCTGTTTATTGTGTATTACATGAATTTTAAAAAATTAATATTAAATAATACCTTTTTCGAAATGTTAAGAATTTATGGAATTTTCGTTCAAGAAAAATTTTGTGCATAAGCAATATGTGAGAAATGTAGCATTAATTAATTAAGAAAAATTTGCTGGAACTCATCTCGTGCTCTTTTTTTTCGCTCTTTGTCTCTTTGTCCACCGATTTCCTAGCAGCTACTAAATATCCACAGAATTTCGACTAACCTAACCTCTAACAGACACCTTTCTTATAGGAAATTCCAGCCAGTTTTTTTTTTTTTTTTTTAATCTTACATTTCTATTATATATGCTCTTAAAAATTCAAAAAAAAAAACAGATAAACCTGGTATGAATTTATTTCTTTTTTTAACAAAAACTCGAAACGATTCAGAATTTTCTCCATTTGATATGGAGTTTACGATTGCGGTTGACGGAAGTGATCGCAAAAACTCTTTCTGCCCAGCTTGACTAACGCAATTCCCCATTTCAAAAATCCTTTAATATCATTAAAATAAATCAAATGAGACGAATAAAATAAGAATTTAAGCATTTTTTTTATCGATTAAAATAAATAATAAAACAAATGGTTAATTAATCTTCATTTCTGGCTAGACTCATTTCTGCTAATTAAAGAGATAATTTTGTTGGAGAGAAGGAAAGAGAGAAAGAGTCACTCAGAAAATAGAAAAAGCTGAAAAAAAAGCTGACAACGACATTCAGTGCCCATAGGAAGTGATAAAAATGATAAGTGATAAGAAAAAGAAAATTTTCATTTAGAAAATTAAAATAATTCAAAAAAAAAAAACCATTTTCAAAACAGTTTTTACTTATTTAATATTTCGATATGATTTCTCCATTTATTAAAATTTTTGCTTATTTTTCCAAATGAAAAATTCGTTAGTTTTTCAAAAAATCTGAAAAATTTCTCAAAGTCATCAAAATGAATAATAAATTTCTTTTTTAGCAATAAATAATCGCTTTTTTTTCTACAACAGAAGAAATGCAACGATTTTGTATTGCAATAAAAATTATTTTAAGGTATTTTATCGCTAATTTATTGCCAATTAATTTACACATTGAAAATAATAAAAACGATTTATTACTCGCCCAAATACCACATTTTAAAAACTCTCTTTTTGCAATAAATAAATATTATATATTTAAAAAAAAGAAACTAAAAAAAATTAAAAGATTGATCACTTAAATGGATATAAACCATTTTCAACCACTTCTGCTTTAAAACAAAAAAAATGCACCACAATGAAGAGTTTACATTTGTTGAAAAAAAAGAAAACAAAAATTTTTAAAGTGTCAGAAAAGAAATTTTTTTTGATATTAAAATATATATCTAATAAAAAAGTGTTGAATAATACATACTAAAATAAATAAATATTAAAATATTACAAAAATAATTATAAAATATTTTAAAAAACCAGATAATTATAAATTATAGAATGAAAAATTGTGAAAAATTTTAATTTTAAATTTAATTTTAATTTTAATGAATCTTAATTTTTATTAATAAATTAATAAATTATATTAATTCGTAAAATTGAAAAAATGAAAAAAAATCCATTTAAATTCACTTTAAAAAAATTAAATTAATAAATTAAAATAAAATATTAAAATAGAAATAAAAGTAAAAGTAAAAAGAAAATTGTTCGAATAAAATATTTTAATATTTTAATATTAAAATATCGAATACGAAAATACACCATCGCCTTTTTCTTTCGCTTAATTTTTCAGCCTACATTATCAGCCCAGAAATCTATAACGAAATGCGAAAGCACCTTTCATCCTCATCCTTTCTTTCACCTTTGGTTCAATAAACGCATTGAAATCACCACATAATCACCTCAAAAAATTAAATGTAAATAAGCGAAAATCCTCTCTGAAAAAAATAATTAATTTAAGTAAACAATCAATCAAATCATCAAAAAAAAAATGAATTTCTCCATAGACTTCAATCTAATCTGATAAGCATCCAGACTTATGCATTCGTAAATGAACAATAAAGATATGCGAAAGAAGAGAAATAAAATGGTAGCAGAAGAGATTAGACGATAGGTAAAATGTAAGAGATAAGTTGAAATAGACAAGGAAAAAAGGACTAATATAATGAATTAACACCTCTGTCAAATTGGTTTCTTATCAGATAAGATGGATGATAAAACGGATGAGAGATAAATGATAAAATATAACACATAAATAGAATAGTTCGATATCCATAGAGATTATTGCCAGCAATGTCGCAATGCTCGCCGTGGTCAATTGTCACCCTTGAGGAGTTCAAGCACGAACAAACGACGCTTATCTACTCAACTGCATATGTTCACCGCAACTACACGATCTTCAGCCATATGACTCGAACTTATCACAGTTTAAAATTAAATTTCTTGGCACATTGCCAAGTTGGATCTTAGCCAACATGCAAAACCTGAAAATCAATCGATGATCAGTTACGGTACAAGATAGAAATGTCTAGAATTTTCTCGAAATATTCTCGCCAGGAATGTCCGATGATATGCAATTATAACAACATTACAATGGAGGCTTGGTGAGGGTTCAAGTGGGGAATGGGGTTTTGCGCACAAAGTTATGGTTCGGGTTCGAGTTCGGGTTGGGGTTTGGGTTTGGATCGAAGGTTTAGGGGTTTGGGAAGGGGGCGTGGCGTTTTGAATCGATCAGATAGCAAATATTTGATTAGAAAGAAATAAAGTTAAAAAATGTTTCGATAATTTGGAATTGACGGACGTGCTTCGATATGTCTTGTTTTTCTCTTCGATTTCTCTTCTTTTGGGGGTCAAGGGTCAGCGTTTTTTTTTTCTGTAAATTTATTACGAAATTTATTTATTTTGTTCGAAATTATGAAAGATGCACATAATTTAATTTAATGATTGCAATTATTTTCGTGTAGAAAATTAGTGGTTTGTAAAAAACAATCTTTTTTTTTGATATGACTGTTATAAATTTTGTATTCTTACTCGCTCGTAACTTTTACCTTATCTGCGACTCTCTTTTTGAAATAATATGCTGGCGGTTGAGAGAGAGAAGAGGCGAAAGAGATGAGGGATAGTAAAAAAAGGCAGAGGGGGAATTTCTATATATCATTATGTACGTCGCTATCAGATTGGAAGGAAGTGAGAATAAAGCTTGAGTCGCGAGGTCAATCGGCTTTCGTTAACTTCGAGTTTCATTTGCGAGTTCATTTGTTTTTCTCATTTTGTATTTTTTTTTTTCATAAAAAATTTTCTTATTTAGATATTTGAAATTCGTATTTTAAAATCTTATTTCAAAATTTTTTTAATAAATCTTTTTTTTTGTGGGGAAAATATTTAGGTTATTTTACGATTTTAAGGAATTTCATTTTCATGCAAAATGATCAATTAATTAATTTTTACTAATTCTGCTTTTTTGTTTTCATTTCATTTCAAAAAAAAAATTCTTTTCCGTTTAATTGAAGAGCACTTGTTTTTTTTCCATTTACTTTACTAAATCTGTGTAAACTAATTTGAAATCACTGTTCGCTGTAGGAGACACATTAGCCGAGTGGGGTTTTTTGCTTAGTTTATCGCTTGAAAGATTCCCATAAGTGATGTTAAGAAATCTTATTGAGAGTTCGAAGATCTGTAGTACCATTATTAGATATCTTTAGCAGAGAGTTCTAATCACATTAATAGTTAGTGTGGAATTAACCATGAATGCTGAAGGCTACTGGCCTGTTAAATTTGTGGATTTATGGTGCTTTTCCTTTGTATTATTTTGTATGATTTTTTTCTTAAATATGTATGTATATTTTATTTTTTTATATTTTTTTTGTAGTTTATTTTTTAAGAAATATTAGGTTTTAATTTTTTGTGAATGCCATTTTAAAAATTTTCACAATAGTAATGAGATTATTTTTTTATTTTCTTCTCTAAATTTATTCGAATCTTTTATGGTTTTTTTATGGCCTCACTAATATATATCGTTTTTCATACATTTTTTTCCTTTGAAATTAATTTAGCATATAATATATTTTGCAAAATATGAAAAATTTGGTTCATTTATCTCGTTGTAAGTTTCGTGAATGAATCTTAAGTTTACACTTTCGTACATCTAAATGAAGGACATTGGTCTGACATGGTTCCGCATTTTCTATTTTCATTTTCGTTTCTATAAATTTTAGTCGACTTTTTTATTTTTTTAAAATATGAGAGAATTATTTGTTAAAAATAAGAAGTAGGAAAAGCTTATTTCCGCTAAATTTCAGATTTTGTGCTATCTGCTTTGTAATGTCACGAAGATTTGCATATTTATATGTGTTTGTATGTGTTTTCATTTTTTATTAAATTTCAAGGCAAAATTTTTTTCCAGAAATTATATCGATAACTGCTATTGTCGAATTCAATTATAGTAACTATGGGCAAAGATTATTATAAAATATTAGGGATTGCGAAAAGTGCGAGTGATGATGAAATTAAAAAAGCCTATCGGAAGATGGCGCTTAAGTATCATCCAGACAAAAATAAAGAACCGGGTGCTGAGGCTAAGTTTAAGGTTTATTTTTATTTTTATATAGTGGCAATTTTGAGAATTTATTTTTTTTCTGATTGCGAATTGATGAAATATATATAAATATAAATAATTTTTAGGAAGTAGCAGAAGCTTATGATGTGCTGTCAGATCCTAAAAAGAAGGATATCTATGATAAATTTGGTGAAGATGGTTTAAAATCCGGTGGAGAAGGTGCTGGTGGTCCTGGTGGATTTCACTACGAATTCCAGTTTGTGGTTTTCATTGTTGTTATAGTTTATCAGAATATTATAGGAATTTTTTTTTCCCATTAAGTTCATTCATTTGATGCCTGCGTTTTACGTTTTTTCTAATCTTATTCGATAATTTTGCAAGTTTCAATTATTTTCAGAGTTTTTCTTTTATTTCTTTTTTACTGTTTTACTTCGGAGTATTTTGCTATGAATTTTTATTTTTTAGGCTCAAAAATTTTTGAATTTTGTAGAGGTGACCCGATGCGGATGTTCGCTCAGTTTTTCGGAGGAGAAGATCCCTTCTCATCATTCTTTGGTAGTAGTTCGGGCGGTGGTGGACCTCAAATATTTTTTAGTTCTGGGGGAGATGATTTGCATGGATTTGGTGAATTTTTTATTTTTTTTGTCTTAAAATCATTTTTATGGCAATGTATTTTAATGGATTTATCGTATATTTTCAGATTTTCTATTCTATATTTTCAGATGATCTATTCAAATCCAAATTTGATGAAATGCGTCGAAAAATTATTTCTTATTTCATTAATTGATTTAGTTTTATTCACCTTTAGGAGTTTTTTATTTCTCCATTTTTTATTTTTAGGTATGCCGTTTGGTATGGGTGGTCATACAAGGCGTCAGCGGCAGGATCCGGTTGTACATCATGAACTGCTTGTCAGTTTAGAAGATATTTATAAAGGTTGTACCAAAAAAATGAAAATTACAAGGCATGTGGTTTTCCGTAACCTTCTTATTTGGAACATTTGTTGAAAATGTTTGGTTTTAACCTATTTTTTTTAGAAAAGTGTTGAATCCGGACCAGCAATCATCTAGAGTAGAAGATAAGGTTCTGACTATTAATATCAAACCAGGTTGGAAAAGTGGGACAAAGATAACTTTTCCGAAAGAAGGTGATCAACATCCTGGTCGAGTGCCTGCTGACATTGTATTTGTTATCAAGGATAAGCCTCATCCTAAATTCAAGGTATAAATTGGAATTCCATAATACTGGGTTTTTTCCATATACTTGTAGGGATATAATAATGACTATTTAACTGCTCTTAACTTTAAGAATATTGAAATCATGAAGAGAAGGGTTTTTTTGTCTGAGAAGGGCTCATTTATTTTTGGTTTAGAATTAATAGAAATTTGTTGGAGATTGAATTCTATTTCAGAGAGAAGGTTCAGATATTCGATATGTTCACAAATTGTCGCTTAGAGATGCTCTTTGTGGTACTGTTGTTAATGTACCGACATTGGATGGTCCAAGCGTTCCTCTCCGTTTATCTGAAGTTGTTAAGCCAAATTCGGCTAAGAGGTAAGGTTTTTTGTAATAAAATGGTCCATTTTAAATTAAATCTAGATAATGCTGGGAGTCTACTTTCATTTCGAAAATAATTAGTATCCAGTGGAACAAGTTCCAGCCGAGAATGGTGAATGCTAAAACAAAATTATCTAATCGTCTTAATTGGAAAATTATTTTGTATTTAATAGTTTTTGCAGATTGACAGGTCAAGGTTTGCCGAATCCGAAGATGGCAGGCCGTCGCGGCGATTTAATCGTTGAATTTGATGTGAGGTTTCCAGATTCGATTACTCCAGCAGCAAAAGAACTTCTGTTTAATGCATTACCTTCATAGTCGTGTTTATTCTGTGGAAATATTTCATTTTAAAATTTATAAAAATATACTCTTAAAAAATAATGCTTCATACATATATGGAAATCATTTAATCATTTGTATCATTGTATCATTGTATATTTTGCATGACAAATGGTTTTTTCAGCGACAATCATCTTAAATGTTTGTATTAATTTATTAAAGAAAAAAGTATTTGAATAATATTAATATAAAAACATTTAGGAGAAAGGATTGATATCGCGTTTTATTAAGTAAATAAAATATTTTATTCCGTTTATAAGAGTTCTGCGTTTTCCATTTTTTTTTTTTTTAAATTTTTATTAGGATGCTTTATGAAGAAAGTCTGGATTTTATATCGGTTACGGCATTATAATTATTACATTAAACGAGATTTATCGTTGTTGTAAATATTTATGGATGTTCATGGTACTCAACGTTCGTAGAACGTAGTTGTCGGTTTCAGTTGTTCATTTTTTCTTGCTTTGTTGTAATTTGTTGTAATTTGTTGAAATGGGTTAAACGAGCGGTAAACGAGTGGATGACTTGCATTGCATTGCATTCTCTCTTAATCCATCGGTATCGTTGGGGAGACCTTATCGACGGTGAACGGTGCGAGAACAACCTGGCATTCCTACTACTCTCGAATAAGGAGCCAATGATTAATTAATTGCTCGCGAAGGTTAGGTGAATATCTTCATATTCGAGGGATTAGGGGCCAGGATTTCAGGAGCAAAATGTATTACTGTTATAGTTGTTTCGGGATGCAAGGAGCATTTTGGTGTGTTTGATTATTTTCGGAGGTCTCGGAGGGAGAGGAGAGGGGAGGAGGATTTTAAGTAGTGGTGGTGAAAATTTAAGTTAGGGAGTCTAGTTTTCATAGAAAATTAAGGATATTGGTGGTAACACGCTGAATAAATTTATTCATTTGTTTATTTGAATGCATTATGTGTTGTGATTTTTATTGTCTCAGGTTGTTATTAATTTTTGGTTTTATTGGAACTTCGATTGGTACTTTTCTTGAAATATTTCCAGTCTGTTCGATAATATTTGTACCAAATTATTGTCATTCGTAAACGAAAGGAACAATAAATAAAGGGAAGGCGACTCGCAGTTCACATTTTATGAAGTGTCGTTTTATGCGTTTTATAAATATTCTAAGAATGAATACAAATTCATGGATGGCCAAAGCAAAGCATTTCATAATGAAATCAATGAAATTCATGGAATCGAAAAAGAAATTGCCTTATTTTATTATTTATTATTTTATCAAAATTTATTTATCAGAATGCGAGAGATCATTGTTCTTTTTTTCATGCTAAACTATGGCGATTTAATAAAAATTGCTAATATATTTGGCATTATTAAATTAAATTAAATTAAATATCAACCATTCATATAATTAGAAAATATTCAATTTGATAACGAAGTTTCAGCAAAATCTATTCGTAAATTTATGAAATATTGGCAAATTTTTTAATTGTTGAGGCTTGGATTTCATAGAGTTTAATGAGTCTCATCCTAGCAGTGAATGGAACTAACCATGTAAGAAATGTTGTCCTATCAGGAGACTCAAAGAGACATTCATAATCCATTGATATATATGCTAATATATGCATTATCGACCATTGTAGCAGCTGCTTTTCTCAAATCTATAGATTACAATTTTTAAGAATTAGTTTTATTTCAATGAAATAAAATTTATATACAATTATAAAAATCTATATTAAATACAATAAGAAATTGATTGATAACTGGTAACAACTGATAACAAAATAATTCGCCAAATCGCCAAATATATGAGAATAATATGAAGAAAGCATCCTTATATCATTATTTATTTGATAACAACCAAGCTAGGATACAAACGCTATGTGCTTGTATCAATAACAACAAAATAAAGTCAATGAAAAGAAATCAATGAGTGATAATTGATAAAAAACGACGAAAGGCTAACAATATAAAGAAAAATAATATATTAAAGGGAAAATTATAGAATAAATCAAGTCGAATCGAATGTATTATAACTGATAAATTCTAATAAGTGATAAATGATAAATGATTTTAAAACTACTTTCATAGATTTTGTGAATATTTTAAATAATATTATAAATGATTTTAATCGTTTTTTTTTTTTTTGAATAACTATGAATGATGCATTCGGTAGTTGAATTCCAGTAATTAATAGTGCGAATAAAAAACCTTTCGTTTAATTTCGCATTTAGATTTTAATAATTTTAGCCTATTAGATCCAATTCTTGTATTGAATCTATTTAACCTAAAATTATCTAAAATTATAGTATTTTAAAAAGCTAATTTAACATAACCTTATAAGTAGTACAGATTAAATCTTCTTTAATTGGAGAATGCAGGAAGGTTGGATGGATAGTTGAAATTGTGCTTCGTAATTAAAATTACTATTAGGTTAAAATTTATAAAATATTTTTTGGAGAGTATTTATTTTAATATTTAATAAACAATTATTATTTATTTAATATTTATTTATTTTAATTTAGATGTTATTTATATTTGCATAAGAACTAGTACGCTTAATTTGCCTTATTTTAGAGACGTATCAATAGTTGATTTATGCCGAAATATTTTTACAAATGGTAGAATTTTAGCCATTGCGCTATTTATATCATTTTGACGCCATAATAGAACGATTAAATCTACGACGGGATTAATATTTGAAGTAAATGTTAAAAGAATAGTAGCAAATTCATTTAATGCTTCGATTTGTAGAGAATTTGTAATAGAAGTTATTATTACTGGTAATACGTATAAAATCATTGTAAAAATTCCCCAAATACCCATTGTTACAGTAAATCGACGTTGCATTCTCAGATATAAAGCGGAATTCGAATTTGAATTATTCTAAAATATAAAAAATGATTATAAATATTTATTTATAAATAAATAATATTTATTTTAATATTTATATTTAATATTTAATATAATATTTAATATTTAATATTATTTTAATATTTAATATTTATTAATATTTTAATATTTATTTATTTTAATTTAGATGATATTAGTTAATTAGATTTTCAAATTTTACAAAAAATATTGAATATTAAAATTCTTTTAATATTCTTTTAATTGAGCCAATTTTGTTAATTCAAATTTTTTCTATAATTATTTATTGTATTTTATAATTATAATTATTTTAATTATAATTATTTTTTAAAATTTGCAAGAGATCTTCGCTTTCCAAAAGCTTTCACTATTTCCAATTTGCTAATTATTTCACTCAGTACTAATTTCGCTAATGAAGTGGAAAGGATAGAGATATACTTCGCTAACAGCTGCTGAAGCTAAAATCTGCTTTCATCTTCACTGAAGAAGCCATCTTCTTCTGCTCGCTATTACTGGTTAAGCTGTCTTCGCTGGTTGTAAAGATTTTCAGGCTGTTCGATCTAATAATGCTAGAAATCATTCCTTCCTTTATAAGTCGAATGACCTTCACTGGAATGTCACAATCCATCACCCTCAGAAATGCCGTTCAATTAAATGGAACGAAAGCAGCTATGAAATCAATGAAACAAGTGATGATGAGTTAGGATATTTGAAGCGATGTCCCCCAGCTGCTTTATTATCGAATATTTTATTAGTACAACGGCTTTTTAGTCTGAATTCAGCTTATTTAGGGCGATCACAACCATCTCTGTTGGGAGACACAGAAATCCTACTCTTTTTTCTAGAGAACTCTATGAATCGCCAGCACTACACTGACTTTTAAAGGGTAAATTTACTGCTGCCAGATATCGGACCCCAGCCTTGCTTCAAACTGAGCAACCCCACTGAGCTATTCTACTCTCTTTTCATCGTTCGGCTACATTGCGATTCGAAGAAGACGGATCGACTAGGTCGACTGGATTCGAACAAGTACCATTCTGGATTTTTGGAAATCAGCCAATCCACTAAGCCACTGTCGTGCCATTTTATCATTAAAACGAATCGTGCAGTACTTCCCGAACGAAACCACTCAGCCACTATAACCCTAATCTTACAGAAACATAAACATAAATAAGAGGCTTCGAACAACGTTCATAAAAGTGCGCAATAATTAATGATTATAAAATTATCAATTCAATTTCGAGTTATCAGGACAAGAAATAAACAAGAAATTAGTATTTTATCAGTAGTTGACCGTCATTCTTTCTGAGAAATAATGTCGAAATATTATCCAAAGAATAACATAAACAACAACGCTTGCACTTGAGCAAATAATTCGAATTAGGAAGAATATGGTGTTGAATTTCGGTGCAATGCCAGATGCAGTCCTAAAGTTATAAAATATTCTTAAGGATGAGACGCTTTTCAATGAAAAAAATAATATTAAAAAAAAATTTTTAAGAGCTATTAAAAACTTACCAACATATTGGCGAATGTTCTAAAGCAACTTCACCCCATGAATGGATCCAACTAGGCAAAACTAACGATGCGACAATTGATACGGCCATAGAAACCTAAAATAATCCCATATTTTTAGGAAAAATTCAAACAAAGAAATCCGTTTAACTCATGAAGATTTTTGAAGAGCACACGCCATTACTGGGTTAAACTCGCTCCGCTGGCTTGTCGCATTAAATAAACATATCAAGGAATTCTTTAGCCACAGAAGTAGAGGTCACTCAGCATATTTTTGGACAGGTTAACACCTTCCGAAGGTAGAATATGACCATCGGCGCTCTGAATTGAGCAGCAACCCACTGAGTCATTCTACTCTCCTTAAGTTTTTCTCCGTTAGGCAGTGCTACTATTCAACGAAGCGTGGTGCATCAGCCAGATTCGAATTCTGACTTCGGATTCAATGATTAACAATGTTATAACAATTTGAGTCGAAAAAAATACTGATTCTGCAGATACTGATTGCAGTTATGAAAAGATTTTTTGAAAAAAACCTGGAAAATTTGAAAATGACGTCCATATTTACGATATTTAAGAGGACTCACTAATGAAGCTAATCGGTCGACGCTAATGATTAAAAGAACCATAGCAGAAAGTGGTTCTGCCCTAAAATAATTTTCAGGAGAAAATTATTTTTTCTTCTTTAATTTTTTCTAGTTTGCTTTTACTGTACTATTTGTATAATTTTCAATTTATTACGAAAAGAATTTTTTGTTTTTTGATATATTTTTATATGAATTTTTTTTTTCAGTTAAAATAAATTCTATTAAAATAAAATAAATAGATGACTTTGTTTTAGATCATTTTAGATCATTTTTAGGTCGAAACAAAAAAAAAAAAAATTCTACTAAAATTTTTGTACCATATTTGCAATACATTCCACGGTATCATTGCACATTGCCGCATACTACTTAACGTCGTTGTTGTATTAGTGGTGATAACAATAAATAATCGGCCAAATCCCGCTAACATTTCAGCAAATGCCGTAGTAAAATCAACAATCAACTAGAATGAAAAGTTAGAAAAATAATTAATAAGTTAGTAAGTTGTTAGTAAGTTGAAAAAATATGACATTTTTTATTTATAAATGTTTTAATTATTTAAAAGGAGGTGAAAGGTAATTTAGAAAGGTGAATTTTCAAAACGAATAGAACGAAATATTTCAAATAAAACAATGGAAAATAAAGCGCCTCCAGGTTCCCATTTGTATTTTCGTCCTCAAATCGGTTCTTCTCTAATAAAAACTCTAATTGCCAGTAGAGAAATAACAAATTGTGGTTGCTAACCATTCTCCTTCTTCTACTAACACCTCTCACCATTACTGGTTAAGCTGGTTCCAACAGCTACAAGGGAAAGATACTTCGAAACGGTGCGGTCTGATACCATCGTCGACAGAAGATATTCCTTTTTTCATCGTCTAAATCCATATATTGCTGGTCCATTTATACGTCCAAAATCTTTTCTGATCGTGCCAATCCAGGTTTTGATTGGTCCACTTCACTTTTGATGCCACCCAACAGGTATTAGTTAGTAAAGATTACTAGCCATTGATTAATTACGTTCATTTACACTGATATGGTCATAAAAATTATAACCTTGAAAAAAATGACCAAATACTTTTGAACCATCGATGATTTTATAAAAGCTATAGCAAATAATATATTAATGGTTGATACTGAAAAGCCTTCGATTGCATAAATAATAAATGTTATAATGAAATTCATAAATACTTTTTTTTCTAAAAAAAAAAATCAAAATTAAAAACTTTGATAATTTTTCAGTTAAAAAATTTGAAATAAGGCAACAATGATAAAAAAATCGAATTACTAAGAAATGAAAAAATTTCACTTGAAAAAAAAATGCAATAAATTAATAATGCAATAATTTATCTAATAGTTTTAAGTTTATAATTATAATTTGATTACATAAAAATGATTTTACATAAAAAATTTTACTTAAGAAACCAAGAAAATTTAACTCTAACTGATTCTTCTTTGAATTAAAAATTTTATTCTACTAATTTCAGGAATTGTGAAAATTTTGCTTCTTTTAAAGACCGGCTGAGATCAATTTTTGCTAATCTTTCCTTTTTGTACTAAGAATTTTAAGATGAAAAGGATTTATACATTTCCTTGCGATGTATCGTTTGCCTTGAAATGTTATTGCAATAGGAAGGTTTTAAGCATAGATTTTAATCTTAAAAAGAAGCGAATAAATCTTATTAAATATTTTATTTTCCTAAAATTTCCTAAATATTCATTTCATGAGAGGTAAATTAAACTATATGGGAGGTAAATTAAATTAATTGCCACCAGGATTTTCATCAAGGACCGAAGAAAATTTTTTTATTCGGGAGAAAAAGTTCTTTGAAGAAAAAGAATATGAATTTTGAAAATATGTTTCTATTTTAGCTTATTTCAATATTACTTTTAGAATGAAAACATCAATATGAAAATTCAGGATGGAAGGAATCCACTTATGTGAATTTCTTCAGGCTTTTTTCCAGTCAAAGAGAAGGAATTGGAACTATTCTGCGAGCCAATGCAATACATGGTACTCAGTTATGGTGCTCAAATCTCATTTTTCCACTCTGTTTACACCTCTTTCCTAATCAAAGTCTTGGTCGTCTCGTTTTGCTTTTGACATATCCTTCATATCTTAGTAAACAAGCCATGTGATAGAGGAAAAAAAAAACATGGCTTAATCAGAACAGGTGATACTTTGTGAATTTTCTTTTTTATGCAGATGCTATTTGAATGAAGGTGGATATCTGGCCGATTAGAGGTTGATATCCTTAAGAAAAAGTGATGAGAGATAGATAACTTCTCGAAATTTTCCACTCTTATTGGCCTATGTTTCTCAATTGCGGCAGCGTATAGCAGAATTTTGCGTAGTATATGTAAATTATAAGTGAATTTCTTTGAGGGTATTTATCTAACGAATTTAAAAAAATTCTGATATCGATAGGCTATCTCCATAAAGCAATGATTCGAAGTCGGATGATATTTTTATTAGAGAGTGGTATATCGCTATATTTAGGAGATAATCTGTGGTGGATTTGTGAAATTTACGATTTTATCAGCGTATCTTCTATACAAAACTTCGAGAAGTCTTTCAACTCATCTATAACGGTATGAAGGCCAATTTTTCGCTGCTGCTGGTGACATTCGGTCTAATATCTGCTTCATTGTAAATATTGGCGAAAAGGAGAGCAGCGATCATTCAAGACCCGTGATACTTTGCTCTAGTCTGATACATAACTGAGGCTTTCATAACCAATAGCGTATTTTTACATGGAAGAGAAAAAAATTTTACCGTATATCGAATCGTATTTCGAAAGGTTATGCCAGCACTCCATACATGCACAAACTTGTGTGTTACAATCTGCTAGAACAGCCTTTTACTATATGTATATAACAAAACAAACATTATAGCCTAGTCTCTTCATTAGTTCCACTAATCTTGATTAAATTTTCGTTTTTTTCTTTTTTTCTTGTCGATTTATATCAAAAATTAAAAATGCATGAGCCATAAATTTGCTTCTTCTATCCAACTTCATACCTTGATAATATTTTGGATAAAAATTCAGTAGTTTTTTGATTTGTTGACTAACTGAAATGCTTTGAAAAGCTTTTCAAAAGAAAGTTTATAGATTTCATAGACTATAAACTTACAGTGTAGTAAAACTCTCTTGTAGTAAAACAGATTACAGTATAGTAGTAAATAAGTAAATTATTAGTACTCAATCGACTATCTTCTTCATAACAATCTTCTTCACTTTCTCTTTAGTAGAATCTTACAAGAGAGTTACCTAGAAGAACATAGAGGTACTGGTCACTTCCAGCATTCAGCCTTTTGGCTGACATGTTAACTACAAGAAAAGTAGTGAAATTACGGATGATGACCTAAGACTAAAGAAATAATAAGGATATAAAGAAGGCAAATGAATAAAATAAATTTTATCCTTAAAAAATGGAAAAATGAATGGCTTCGGATTTTTTTTAGGAAATGCATCTAATCGCAAGGCTTGAAAATCTATCTTTTTCGTCAGTTTAGTGCGAGTTTCCAGAAAAAAATGCGAAAAAACTGCTAATCATCGTTTAATCGCGTTTTTCTATCATAAAATTTATCATTCCACACCATCGTACAAATATTTGGATTCGTTGTTTTTTCCATAGAAGCGAAAAATTACTTTTTGCCTTAGGAAAACTTCATCGATAGCCTTATAAATATAAAAAATTTGCTAAGATAAAGAATTTATGCAAATTTTCTCGACTATTATATTGCGGATTCATCCTAAAATAGCTGAATGAATTCTTTCAACTTTAAGCAATTTCATTTAATACTGATAAAAATTCTTAAACGATGAAAAGACGCATTTGAGCAAAATTCCTATTTGTTGAAATATAATAGTTGCTTTTAACATCAAATTATGACTTTTTGCCTTACTTGGTTTAATAATGAAAATGAAATAGATAAAACTAGATAATTTTGGTTTGGTTATGCTGAAAAAGCCCAAGCGTTGAAGCTGAAGTTGAAGTTGAAGTTGGAGCTGAAGTTGAAGATCTCAATTTTTTGGCAATATTTAGATTTACCTTTAACATCGATTTATTACTAAAATACTGCGATTCATAAACCTAAGAAGATTAAAAAATTCGAGAAATGCTATTCGAGATAAACTGAACTGCCTTAATTTTGAATTATATTTAAAGAAGAAATCTAAACAAATATATTTTCGAAAACAATAAATTCGTTTCTAAAGAAAAATAGCCAAAGAAAAATGAATGAAAAATAAAATAGAAAATATCGAATTGAAAAAATGAAAAAAAGAAACATCAAAAATAGCTAATTTTAATAATCAAATGGCATGGGAAATAAATTTTTTTAGTTGAACTTCATTTATTAGAATTTTTCAACTGAATTTTTGAATAAAAAAAATAACTTATTAAGTATGAATACTAAATTACTTTTAATAATTTTAACATCTGGTGAGAAATTTATGGCATTTTTAATGAAAAAGAAAAAAAAAGTTATGAGAACAATATTGAATTTCAATTTTTATTCAGCTTAAAATTTCTTTTAAAAAATTTTTGATTTTTTTAATAAGAATTTTTAATTTTTTAAAAAGAAATTTTATTTCTTAGGAAATGTGTATAGGAAAGTAAAAATTTGTATATTTTTAAAAATTATTTTTATAGAGAAAATTATCCAAAAAATTTTTGGCAAATTCGATGGAAATAATAATAAAATAATAATAATTATGAAATTTGTTGTTTAGAAATAAGAAATTTGCAGATTTTTCTTTTTCGGGTTTCAGATTTTTTTCTTCAATTTTTATCTCTTTTTTCGTTCATGCAGAATATATATTTTATTGCAAATATTGTCATTGTGCCCCATTTTGACATATTATTTCCTTTTTTTTTAAATCGGCGATTTTGTGCCATCCATTACTATCAACTTCATTATTCATTATTATTATTACCACTTTTTACTATTTTGTTTTTATAAACTGTATTCGATTTTCTGCATTTATTTATTCATTTAAATAGAAATCAAAGAGAGCTGAGTGCTAAATACTCATATTGAATGGGAAAAATCAAAGAAAATAAATTAAGCAGCTGATAAGCTGATAATAAATTATAAAAAGTAAAATAAAGTAACATTTATCTACCAGCAATAAGGCCAAGAAAATGCATGATGCTATAGTAAAAAATTGTAATTTTGTTTCAAAAAAGAAAAAATACCTTGCTTCAATTAAACATGCATTCGTATAATTATATATACGGCTATATATTCTTTTTCTGGAGGAATCTTTAATTCAGCGATTTAGAATGCATTTTAACGAATTTCATAAATAATATTATCTAGATTTCCTTTCAAGACTGGATATAAATTGGGCAAAAAACAACATCCTTGGGCGATTTGTTTCAATTTATTTAAGGAGTAGAATGGTTCAATGGTTTGTTACTTAA